GGGAAGGGGGTGACTCTGGGTTGATCTTGGATCAGAGTCCCAGTGCCCACCATCTGTGCAGCCTGAGCAGCTGTGGGACCCGGGCAGGCTGCTGGTCTCCGAACCTCTGTCTCCTTATCTGTAAGATGTGTGGGGCATGGACATGGGACTCCTGGGGTGGTCTGGGATCCCACGACATAGAGAGGACAGACACCAGTACAGGGTTTCCCTGGAAATGGCCTTGGGCTAGGTGGCAGGTGAGGTAGCATCTTCAGCAGAGCTGGGAGCAGTTCCACCATCGAGCAGTGGCCATCGAGGGGCTCAGTGATACCCAGCCCAGCACCTGTCTGAACTTTGGAGGACGTGAGGGGTGCAGCCCCTGCCTTTGGTCTCCCATGGTGCTCCAGAGCTGTGCTGGGCAGGGCGGCACCTGGAGAGTGTGATCAGCAGTCCTGGGCAGCCATCAAGCCTGAGGCACAACAGGGCTGAGGGCCGGGGCCGAGGAAGGAGCAAGGAACCCTTTTACATTCCGGCAGTTCATGAGTCACACAGTGAAGGAAAGAGTCACCAAGGGTGCTAGCTCCCGGTGGCCCTGACGGGGCAGCAGCAGAACGAAGGGTGAGGGGACCATACAGGAGAGGACCTGGGGGGGTGGATGGGTGAGGGACTTCAAGATGACAAGAGCGACATGAGTTGCCAAGCCCATCCAGAGGTCAGCAGAAGGAGGACAGTAAGGGGACTCTTGGATTGAGCCACTTGCAGGCCAATGGGGCGGTGATGGGGTGGCAGTGAGACCGCTGGGCTTGAGGCAGGAAGGAGAGGACTGTGGAGCCCAGCAGCCCTTGATTACCACTTGTGAAAGGCAGGAGAGAGGGAGATGGCAGCCAGAGGGAAGGCAGCATCCACATTTTATTACTTCCTGGAAGGATCACATCTGTGCTCGCCCTAAGGTGATGATCAGGAAGGGTCCCTGGCCCTTCATAGTGAGATGGTGGGGCAGAGAGACTGGACCAGGTTCTCTCCAGGAAGAGCCCACCATTACTGCTGCAGCGGGCCAGGCAGGACTAGGTCTGGGTCCCAAGCCCAGGCTGGGCACATATGGGTGCTCGGGAAACCATAGTTGATTGGTGGCCAGTGGCCTGGTACCTGGATGGGGCCAGGGTCACCAGGGGCTGGTCACTGCTCCAGCCCCAGCATCAACCCCAGCTCTAAGAGTCACTGGGGAAGGGGGCTGGAGTGGGGTCCGATTACAGTGACCACAGGGAAATCGGTGTGGGGAGCAGAGGAGGTTCAGGAGTTGGGTTGAAGAGGACCACGTGCTCCCATCCTGACAGCCTGGGGTGGCCCTCCCTTGAAGGGCATGCGTCTGTCTTGGGGACTGAGGGTCTCTGAAGTCAGGTCTCCTCTTGCTCGAAAGCACCCTGCCGCCTTGCTCTTGACTTCAGCGACTCCTTACAGGGCAGCACGTGCTATCCTGGAGGAAATGGAAACTCTCGGAAGTTCTCCGGTCAGGGAAGGGTGGAGCGGAAGTGGACTAAGAGGGACTCAGCAGTGGGAGAAGGGGGAGCTGGCCCGGAGTTCTCCAGGGACAGGTGTGTGTTGTCCTAGCCTGTGCTCTGGGAGTGACACCAGGTGCATTGAGATTTCAGTACCCAGCATTTCTGTGACTGAAATAAAAGAAAATTCTGATTTGGCCCTTGCCTGCTTGTACACATTAACTGCTTGCTTTTTGCCCAGCATCCCTTGTTGACACAATATGATCATAAGCTGCAGATGTCCTGTTTCTTTGTCAGGAAGGAGGAGGAGATAACTTCAGAGTCACAAAAGTATTTTGTAGGAGTGAATGTCTTTAAGGACATAGAGACCAGTCCCTGTTGCCCACAAATGTGGTTGCTTAAGGTGTTACCTGAGACTGAAGAAACATAGACTTTTCCCCTGAAATGCCACCTCCCTCACTCCTTGGCCACATAGAAACTCCCTGCTTCATCCTTTTGCTAACATGAAGTTGAGGGATTTTCTCTCCTGCCTTCTTACTTTGGCCAAATCAAATAAATCTTTGTCTATCCTTAAGCACTTATGTCTCAGTGCTGGACCTCAGCTGCATATCGGGCACATGAACCTGAATCTGGGATTCTACAAAGAGTCTCACATGCCACCACTCAACAGCCCCCTCGAACACCTACTGTGCTCGGTGCTGGGGCCCCAGACCCAGAGCCCCATGTGCTCCTCCTTTGGGAGAGCAGTCCCTGACTGAAGATGTTGTTAGGAATTTTTGGATCTTGAGGGAGCCACTGGGACCAGGAATGGAGGGGATTGGGCTTGGGGAGCCACCTGCCAGGGACTGACTCTCCTGGAGGTGGGGGACGCCAAAAACCCTGGATCCAGAACCAGGAATGGGATGGGGTCTCTAGGAAGAGGGGATTCTCTCCTGGCCCCTCCCCCAAGTGCCCTGACCATGATATTTGATCCAGAGGAAGGAGAAGGGGCATGAGGAATCTGGCTACTCCAACCCAAGGCCCCTCTCTCCCTCCATCCCTTGTTGGCCCAATAACTCTGTCACTTGAATCCCGGGTCCCAGGATGGGGGCCTGGGTCCAGTGGGCTCTGAGCTCTCCAGGGAGGAAGCCCACCCATGTGGCACAGACTCCAGGGACTTTCTGGGTATTAAGTAGGATGGCAGGCCAGGTGACATGGGGGACAGAGTACGGGGTCTTTGAGGTGAGCCTTCAGGTTGCTTCCATTAGGGCCCTTGTGCACTGCTGTGGCCCTGTGGGAAGAAGGGGTGCTGTGGTCACTCTTATATCTTTGCTTCTACTCACCCCTAACACACACGTCCTCTCTCTGTCCTCCAGCCCTTGGTCCAGATTCTGGGCCTATTTGAGGTTGCTACTGCCACCAGGCCACCTCTGCTAACCACATGGAATCCCCAGTATCCCCTGCCCGTTGTTTTCTTCAAGGAGGTCTCATCTGCAGTCCGGACTCTGGGCTGGGCAGGAACAAGTACCCTCATCACTTGCTTCACCTCAGGAACTGGCCTGGGTGGCTGGCATCCTGTGCATGTTGAGGGGACGATGGTGGGGATGCCAGTGGGTGAATAGAGTAAAGATGACTGGGTCTAGGGCCACCCTGCTCAGCCTCATGGGTGGGCCTGTGGGGAGGAAGGCAGAGTTGGGGGCACTCATCCCTGGCCCGTCCACCCTACACTTCGCATCTCATATATCAGGTGACATGTACCATAGCTGTGTGTGGTGGGCCTGGCTGCTGACTTTCCTGGACCACAGGGACTTGGCAGATGTGATGGCGTTAAGGAGTCTGAGGTGGGAAATGATTCTGGGTTATCCAGGTGGGTCCAAGCTGGGGTCTTTATAAAAGAAAGAGGGAGGCAGGAGGGTCAGAGTGAGAGACATGTGGGGATGGAGGGAGGGAGAGAGAGGAAGGGAGAGAGAGAGAGAGAGGAAGGTAGGGAGGTAGAGAAGAGCAGGAGACAGATTTGAAGATGCTGAGCTCTGGCTCTGAAGCTGAAGGAAAGAGCCAGGAGCTGAGTTTGTCCTCTAGAACCTGGAAAAGTCCTAGAAACGAATTCTCCCCAGAGTCCGCAGAAGGAGTCTGCCCTACGGGGACCCTGATTTTAGCTACTGAGGACTCATTTTGGACTTCTGACCTCCAGACCTAGGAGAGAATCAATGTGTGATGTTTTAAGCACTAATTTAGAGGTCATTTGTGATAACAGCCAGAGGAAAGTCAAACAGGAACCGTGGGAGAGACTCCCCAGGATGCCACGAGGGACCCCTTCCCAGGCCTCACCCATGGTGACCCAGGCCTGACCCCTGCAGGCACCCCCACTCTACAGAGGAGGGACCATGCAGGGAGGGCTGGGTCGTGTTCTATCCACCGACACCTTCCTCTCAGAGAGCAGCTGGAGCCCCAGACTCAAGGAACCTCACAGTCCTGAAGACGGACCTGGTTTTCCAGTGAAGGCCTGGGATCCAATGAAGAAGTGTTCCCAAAAATGAAGTTCCCAAAGATGGCCAGTGACTTTTCATTTCATGCACTTGAGAGAATCACCATGTCTTAGGGCTGCCAGACAGTTACCTGTGCATGCCTCAAGGTTCAAATCCCATTACTACTGAGGCATTGGAGAAAACGTGTTCCCACTTTTAGTTGTGAAGAGATCCCTGACCTCAGCATTGAGAGCACCACCTTGCCTTCAGCAAAGGGTTTGTTTAAACTTACAGAAATGATGAAATGCGTATTACCCTCCTTGCGCTAGTTCCTAGGGAGTTCAGAGCCTGTCTTTTGCAAGTGTCTTGAGCCTCCTGTAGGTCTTTTGTGTGAATTTCCTTCCTGGCTTCCTCCAATTCCTGTTAAATGTCTGAACCTGCTGTTAGGTGCGGAATTGAGGTGGATCCCTCATTTAAGAGCTTGAGAAGTTAGTGGTGCTGGAGTGTCCTGGACAGTCTGGCTCTTAGGGGTGAAAGGGAGGAGGCGAGGGTGGGTGGGAGCTGAGCTGGGCACAGAGGGAGGAGGGCCAGGGCCAGGGGCAAGGGCCAGGGGCAAAGAGGCTCCAGGCCTGGAGCAGGGTTTTCAGGCTGGGAAAAGAGATGGTGGGTGAAGGGTCTCTGTTAGGGCAGAGACAAGAGTGTGTAACTAGAGGTCTAGCCAGAGACAACTCCTTCCGGGAAGGAGGCAGGGAGAGGGGGGCTGTGCTTTGAGGAGAAGCGGGAGGAGTGAAAGGGCAGAGGGACTAGTGTTCAGTGATCAGATTTCTCTTATCCTGGCCTATTTCATCAGGAGACACCCTGGGAGGCTATGAGACTCTCCCTCAGGGCTACTTTCCCACTGGATGCCAGGATTCCCCCCACCCAACACTGAGAATGCAGGGGAAGCCTCAAATTATATGTGAGATAAAAAAGAGAAGGAGCAGGATTTCTGGTTGACAATGAGGATATTTATTGAGAAGGGATGGATGACTTGGGATGGGGAGAGAGACCCCTCCCCTGGGATCCTGCAGCTCCAGGCACCTGTGGCTGGGGTAAGGGTCAGGGGCCTAAGAGCATTCTGCACAGGCCACTGTCTTCTCCACGGTGCTCCCTTCGTGCGTGACCTGGCAGCTGTAGCTGTTGTGGGACTTCCACTGGTCCGCTGTCAGGCTCAGGTAGCTGCTGGCCGCGTACTTGTTGTTACTCTGTTTGGAGGGCGTGTTGACGGGGCTGCCATCTGCCTTCCAGGCCACTTTCACGGCTCCCGGGTAGAAGTCACTGATCAGACACACTAGTGTGGCCTTGTTGGCTTGGAGCTCCTCAGAGGAGGGCGGGAACAGAGTGACCGAGGGGGAAGCCTTGGGGTGACCTGCGGGGTGGATGAGGGGGAGCGGGGGTCAGAGTCCTGGTGTCCACCTGGGGAGCCCCTGACCTCAGTCTTGAAGTGGGCATGGGACTAAGGCCCAGGGCAGGGACCTCAGGCCGAACGCTTGCTGGACTGAGGTCAGGTCAGCGGTGAGTGGAGACACTCCCTCTCAGATGGGAGGCTCTTCAGTGCCCCCCACTCTTGGGGAGTCACAGACCCCCTCTTGGATCTGTCTGTTTTTCATATGTTCCATCACCTATAGACCATACCTGTGCTCGCTCCACACTGGATGGGATGGAGTCCAGGACCACATCTCACGCTGGGTATCTGTCTGTCTTGGGGGTATCTGTCTCAACGCCTCCTACCAGTTCCCCTTGTTCTTGTCTCTTCATACAGGGCAGCTGTTTGTCCTGGGTTCTGGCTCTTCTCTCTCACGGGAGTGGGTTTCTTCCCCACACATCCCCCTGGTGCCATCATTGCAGCCCCCACCCCACCTCCCTGCAGAGACCCCTCTGGTCTGCCTGGTGAGAGAGGGTGTCAGTCCCGAGGGATGGATTCCAGTAGATCAAAGACTTCCAATTGAGGACTTTTTTTTTTTTTTTTTTGACTCCCTGAGTTGAATGTGGAACTGCATATGTTCGAAAGAGTTTCCATGTTGTGAGAAGTTACATGGGGGATCTGACTCTCCAGTGGGTTTTCCCTGACAAGCAGGCATCTGTCCCAGTCACTGTCCCTACCAGGAGTCCTTGTCCTGGCCATCTGCTTTGGGGTCTTCCTCCAGTGGAGGAATTGGTAACGGTCCATGTTTAGGGCCTGTTTTCTGAGACCCACCACCCTGTCCATGGTGTCCTGCCTGTCTTGGGGGAGGGAGTGCGACCCAGCACTGTGGGGCCACCTTCTCACGGGATATTCTTCCTCTGTCTTTTCCTCCTCCCATTTCCTTCCCCATCTCTCCACATCCTCAGTCAGAGGCCTCTTGTCACTGTTTAACGCAGCCCCATGACTGGGCCCTACAGAGGACAGAACCACAGGAGAGGCCAGAACCCCAGGAGAGGATGGGTGACAACACTGACCCAGGAGCCCAGGCGAGGAGGGGCAAAGATTCCAGACACCCAGGCAGACTGAGACCTTCGCCTTAGACAGACAGGAAAGGGAAAAATCTCCCCACATTTCACTTGGGATCTCAGAGAGGAGAGAAGCGGAGAAACTTACCAATGGCGGTCAGCCTAGTGCCTCTTCCGAACATAACACACAGTGACACAGCCGCACACACAAACCCCTCCTGACACACCTGACCCGTTCCCCGCTGCAGCTGCTTGGGCGCCCAGGTCCAGCGGCCCTGTCATGAAGCAGGTCTGGCCGATAGGAGGGTGAGGTGGATGGCCCCTCCATGCATACACGCACACTTGACTGGAAGTTAGGGATCCCTCCACCCCCAGAGGGAGAGGGAGAGGGGAGAGGGAGGAGGCATGTCTGCACATCACATCTGGGTCCCCTGCTACTCTTTGTCCTGGAGGAAGCCATGTGTCCCAGCTCAGCTCCTTTGGAGACTGTCACCATGGAAGAAGTCAGAAGCCTGTTTGTGCCACACGGAATGTGGAGCTGGTCCCCATTGGAGAACCGAGTCCTCTGGATGTCCAGCACAGCCCCAGTGGGATGCCCATGTGGCAATGATTCTAAATAGCACAGGAGAGTGTGTGTGCGTGTGTGCATTTGCACGCAGGCAAGTTTGTTTGTGAATACCTGTGTGCCTAGAGATGTTCATGTGTGTTTATGTTTGTGAATATGTGTGTATGTGTGTTTGTTTCATTGCCCGGGCCCCCCATCCTGTGCTACCTTCCAGGACAATAATCAGCCCGGTTCTTAGATCCCACATACAGCTCTTAAAAAGACCAATTGGTTTACAGGCACCTCTCTGGCACCACTCTGGAATCTCTTGATTGACCTTGACCTCCCCAGCCCCACTGACCATCCATGGGTAACTGGACATTAGGTATTTGAGGTGTGGTCAGTTTTGGACTGACTACTTAGGGGTGAGCGTGGAGTTGACCCTTATTTCCCTGGGTACTTGAATATAACAGGGACACTGGTGACACATGTGGGACCAAGGGTACCCAGCTGGCCTGTGGGGTGTGTGACTTGGGTCCAGACGATCAGGGTCCAGGCTGTGCCTGCTTCAGAGATAGATGTAGGGGTAGAGGGCAGGGTCCTGGGAGTCAGGAACAGGGTGGGCCCCTAAGGAGTAGGGGAGACCAAGGGCCCGTGGACTGGAAAGGCTGCTCCTGCCTGAGAAGGAAGGATTCCTTGAGAGAGGGAGACTGTCCGGGGAGTGAGACCTGATGATCCGTGGAGGGAACTCGTTTTCCGGAGGCCATGGGGAACCAAGGAGAGGTTGCCCCAGGCTGCTGGAGGTGGACATGTCCACACAAGCACAACACATATAGGAAAGAGGGGCAGTCCTGGGATCTGCTTCTCAGGGCTGTGTTCTGGAATATTCTCTGGGCCTTTCTAGGTGATGGTGGAACTACCTCTCAGAAACAACGCAGACTCCATTCTCACAAGTCTAAAATAATTTTGTTCATCTTGCAGGTTGGACCAATTTAGGGTGGAAAATGTATAAACAGAAACAAAACACAAAACCCAAGGTTTTTGGTTGACTGAAGATATTTATTGAAGGTTTCTTGAGTGCAGGGAGAAGGGCTGAATGGCTTGGGATGCAGAGAGACCCCTCTCCTGGGATCCTGCAGCTCCAGGCCCCAGTGGGTGAGGTGAGGGTTGGGAACCTATGAACATTCTGCAGGGGCCACTGTCTTCTCCACGGTGCTCCCTTCGTGCGTGACCTGGCAGCTGTAGCTCTTGTGGGACTTCCACTGGTCGGACGTCAGGCTCAGGTAGCTGCTGGCCGCGTACTTGTTGTTGCTCTGTTTGGAGGGTTTGGTGGTCTCCACTCCCGCGTTGACAGCGCTGCCATCTGCCTTCCAGGCCACTTCCACGGCTCCCGGGTAGAAGTCACTGATCAGACACACTAGTGTGGCCTTGTTTGCTTGGAGCTCCTCAGAGGAGGGCGGGAAGAGAGTGACCGAGGGGGCAGCCTTGGGCTGACCTGTGGGGTGGATGAGGGGGAGGGGTGTCAGAGTCCCGGTGTCCACCTGGGGAGCCCCTGACCTCAGTTTTCAGGTGGATGAAGGACTAAGGATAGGGACCTTAGGCTGGGTCTTGCTGTACTGAGGTCAACTTGGCAGTGGTGGGGACTCTCACCTCCTGATGGGAAATTCCTCAGCATCTGAGGACTGAGGAGTATCAGGCCTCTTTTGCTCCAGCCTCATCTTCAGATTTTCCCCTCCTTATCACCCAGCTCTCACTTCACCTGTGCTCCCTGACGCTGGTTGGGTTCAGCCATGGGCCCTCATCTTTCCTTGGGGGACGTCTCTGTCTGAACATCCCCTGCCAGGTCCCTCGTCTGGGTCTATTCACGAGGGCATCTGTGTCCTGTTTTTAGGTTCTCCTCCCTTTTGATGAGTGAGTTTCTTTCCCATTTGTCCCCCTGGCACCATCATTGCGGTCTCTGCCCCACTTTCCCACAGGGGCCCCTCGGTAGGGACGGGGTGTCAGTCCCAGGAGCTGGCTCCCTGGGAGTCCAGGAGATGGACGGATTTCATGTGAAGTATACTTTCTGTTCTGAGCCTAGCGCTGTGTCTGCTCTATGGGGTCTCCTTGTCATATTGGGAGATCTGGCTGTGCTAGGATTTCTGTCTGTCCTGACTGGTCCCTGTCACCTGTGCCCACCAGGAGTGCCTCCCTCAGCATCTGCTTTGGGGTCTCTCCTTTTCGGTAGGATGGGAAGGCTCTAACCTTGGCCTGAATATCCTGAGAAGCACCCTGTCCGTGGCAGCCTGTCTGTCCTGGGGGAGGAGGGACCCAGCACCCTGGGGCCACCTCACAGGACATTCTTTCTCCATCCTTGTACCCCTTCATTTCCCCAAGTCCCCAGTCAAAGATGTCCTTTCTTGGTTTTTAAAGCAGCCCCATTGTTGGGACCCAGAACCCTAGGGAGCTGAACTGTTTCCAGCATCCTTCCCCTGTCCCACGGCCCTGGTGCCCTAGCCAGAGCCCCTGCTCTGCTGGTCTTTGGGGCCTGGAGCCTCCGTGTGAGGGAGCAGAACATCCCAGAGCCCAGGGGAGAATGCCCTGTAAGTGACAGCGGCAGGTTCAGGCCTCAGCAGGGAGCAGGAAAGAGGTCACTGGGATCTTCCCATCATGCCCCATCAAGTGCCTAAGAAGAGACAGGCTGGAGGAGTTTAGAGCCAGGAAAAAAGGCAATGGTGGCAGACCCCAGAGAGATTGAGACCCCTGCCCTAGAGAGAACAGAAAGGTGAGGAAAGTCTCCCCAGATCTCACCCTAGACCCAAAAGAATAGAAAAGGGGACTCACCGAGGACGGTCAACTTGGTGCCACCTCCTAACACATTACACTGTGATATAACCCTGCACACAAACCCTCCTAATACACCCGACCCAACCCCCCTGCAACCCTGCAGCTGCTCAGAAGCTGCAGGGTCCAGCCCCTTTTTCTCATGGGTGGGTGAGCCACAGGTGGGGTGAAGGGGTCACCTTCTACTGACCCGAATATCACTTCCTTGGGGGCGTGGGAGTTCATCCACCCAAGTCATGGGAAGGGTTGACAGGTCTGTGTGGAATTGTCTCACAGGTAATTGCATTTCTGAGGGGGAGTTGGGTGGCTTGGATCAGATGGTGTCAGGAATGCCAGGGAGGAGGAGGAGGTGAGCGGCTGGGTGATACCACTGACACGGTGCATCTGGGACCCCTTTGAGAAGTTGGGAATGGTAGGGAGGGTCCTTGATGCCCCCCACATCCTCAGCACTGGAGGTCATGGTGGGATAGGCTTGGAGTCGGGAATGGGGGTTGTGGGGAGAATGACGTTGACCATAGGGACACAGACCCCACTGTAAGGCCTGAACTCCAGCATCCTTGGCCCAGCTGTTTTGAAGGAACAGCTCACAGGTCACTGCCCAGGTCCCCCTTCTGAGCCTATGGGGACAGGTTCCTACCTATGGGCTGTGTGTGCTGGATGAGAGCTGCAATGGCCCAGAGGAGAGCTCCTCAAGGGAGGTCATAGGCCTCACTGGCAGTGTGGTTTCCTCCAGGAGCTCTAGGTGTGTGGGGTCTCTGCGTCCCCTTCAGCTCCCTCGGCTTACACACACTGCCACATGTGTGTGCTGTGCAGTCCCTTATATGCACGGGTGACCTACACTGCCTGTGCTCAGGAGTGTCACCAGCACGGGGGGCACCCACAGTGGATGGACATGTGCAATGCGGGGCCTGGACCTACACAGCCTGGACCTGCATCCTGGTCTGGGCCCATTGATGACCTGAAGAGCTCACACCTAGGACACACACCTGGCACTCTGCAGTCTCCAACAGTATTCCCCACAGTGCAAGCACCTCCCCTGACTGCTGAGATGTGGCCTGCTGATCCCTGATCAGAATTTCGTCCACATCTTCTGTCTTACCCTTGGCCTGGACAGAAAACCCTGCCCCAGCCTCCCATATCCAGGGGTGACCCCCTAGTCCCAAAGCCTGGAGACTACAGGTCCCAGATTTGCTTTGCTCATGTCCTGACCTGGGCCTGACTGCAGCCCCTTCTACCTGGGCCCTTCCTGATCCTTCCAGAAAGATGCCTAACATGAACATTTATGTTTGTGTGCATGGTGTGTGAGTGCACGTGTGTGCGTATTATAGCTCAGATCCCATGTTGAGTTCTTCAGAAGACAAATCAGCTTCACCCAAGCTCCTGGCATAACCCCAGAATCTGACTCTTGACTTTGAACTCATCCGTCATTTGACCGCTTGTGCACAGGAGGGCATTAGACTTTCATAGTGGCGTCAGTGAGGAGCAGAGCTGACCCTTGTCTCCTATGAATGTTGAATACAGCTGGGACATCCAGTGACACCTGGGGTGAGAGGCACCCAGAGGGGGATGTGGGGTGAGTGACTAGGGTCGAGGGAGTAAGCGTCCCATCAGTGATTGTTACAAGGGGTTTTGTAGGGTCCCTGGGATGACGGGAACAGAGCGTGCCCATGGAGAAGGGGAGATGCTCTAGGCTTTGATGAAGAATACAGGTGGGGTGACCACATGGCCTTGGACGGGGATGTACAAACACCTTGAGAGAGGGATGGCATCTGGACAGTGAGGGCCAAGGGCAATAAGGAAGGGAGCTGAGATATTCTCCCAGGCCGTAGGGATGTAAGGAGGGTGTGTCCCCGGGCAGCCAGAGTTGGATGTGCTCACAGGGCAGCAGGAAGCACAGTGGAGACATGGGTAAGAATGAAGATGCCTGGGTCCTTCTGAAGACTATTTGCTTATTCTGGAACATTCTATGGGGATGGGGTGATGGAAAAAGTATGACTCAGAGAAACATCAGGATGCTCCCAGGGAGCATTGTCACAAGTTCAAAGGACTCTGTTCACCTTTGGTTGGAGATAATCAAATTTAGGATGGAAAGTGGATAAACAAAAATGAGCAGACAGCATGTTTTCTGATTGACAAGGAGGATATTTATTGAGGGTTTTTTGGGTGTTGGCAGAAGGACTGGATGACTTGGGGTGGGAGGGAACACCTCTGCCCTGGGATCCTGCAACTCCAGGCCCCTGTGGGTGGGGTGAGGGTCGGGGGCCTAAGAACATTCTGCATGGGCCACTGTCTTCTCCACGGTGCTCCCTTCGTGTGTGACCTGGCAGCGGTACCTTCTGTGATGGGACTTTCACTGCTCAGGCATCAGGCTTAGGTAGCTGCTGGCCACATACTTGTTGCTCCATTTGGAGGGTTTGGTTGTCTCCATGCCCTTGGTGGCTGGGGTGCCATCTGCCTTCCAGGCCACTGTCACGGCTCCTGGGTAGAAGGCATTTATGAGACACACCAGTGTGGCCTTGTTGGCTTGGAGCTCCTCAGAGGAGGGTGGGAACAGAGTGACCAAGGGGGTGGCCTTGGGCTGACCTGCCGAATGGATGGGGGGCAGGGGGTCAGAGTCCTGGTGTCCACCTGGGGAGCCCCTGACATCAGTGTGTGAGGGGTGTTCAGGCCCCCCAGTGCCAGTGCAGGACCTCTCAGATGTGGTCCACAGTGTCTCAGAAGGGTGTGACATGATGTTCCTAAAATAATTCGGTCAGTCAGAAAACCTCTGAGCTTGACCCCTGCTCATCGCCTGCTTGGAAACCTTCCTAGGACTTGGGCTTTTGTACAGACAGTGGACCTTCAGTTTCCTGGCCCTGCCTCACCCTGTCATCCTGACGTGGTCCGGCTCTGGCTGTGTTCTCTGAGCTCTGTGAGCCTCCTGTCAGATTCAGTGTGGAAACTTTTCTCACCTGACATAGCTGCTCGGGGTTAGGGGAGAGTGGGTCTCTCACCTAAGGGCTCTGTTTGTACCCACATCTCCTGCAGCCTCTGCAGTGGAGTCAGGGCCTTTGCTCACCCAAGTCCCACTGTCTGTCTGTCCTGGACTCTTTTTCTGTGGAGTCTGTGTTAGAATCTCTCTGTGTTTAGGGTCAATCTACAGTTTTTGTGCCTTGGGATCTGCCTGTCAGTGAACTCAGTGGTTCCTGCTTCTAGGGGTGCCTCCCATAGAGACCCAACAGCCACCTCCCAGAATGCCGTGGCCTTTCATGACCCTTCGCCTGGCTCCTTCATGTCCAGAGCCTTTTCCTCCTGACAGGGCTTCAGGGGTCCCAGGCCAGCTCAGGGCTCTCTCCTTGGGAGCCCACAGAAACCTGGAGAGGTCCCTGCACCTCCTACCTTGTTGCTAGCCTGGATCCGGAGTCCCACAGTCCAGGGGACTGGGCCCTGAGACTCTGATTTTCCATTTCCCAATCTTGGCTTTGAGGGTTTCAGGTCCTTCTAAAGTCTCCCAGATGGTCACTTCTTCAAGCCCCTTGTTCCCTCTCCCCCGTGAGATGGGACCTCAGTTTCCCTTGCACAAAGCTCGGTAGGCAGTTAGAAGCCCAGGCAGGGGGAGGACAGAACTGAGCAAGTTTTAGGGAAGCAGCCTGTCCCTGGCAGACAGACAGACGAATGAGTTTCAGTAGCTCATCCAGTCTAGTGCCCTACCTCTGAGGCCAGAGGTGAAGGGGTCTTGGTGACCCACTGAGGCAAGGGTCTGAACAGGGAGGGGCGAGATCCTTGACCAGGACCTAGGCTCCAGAGCGAAAGCTTCACCACAAGTCAACAAAAGATACAGAAAAGAACAAAAGCAGCAGAAAATTTCTCAGTACTTTGGGGAGAGCAGGGAAGGAGGGGGAAGAGGCTCACCTAGGATGGTCAGCTTGATCCCCTCACCGAACACCCAATGCTGTGACACAGACCTATACAAAAACTTTCCCTGGACGCCCCTACCCCCAACCCCTGCTGCAGCTGTGATGGAGGAAGCTGGGGCCACTGCTCCTGGTGGCATCTGCTGATGAGGGAGTTCACACAGCTGCCACACTCATCCCCACAGAGAGAGGTTGACAGGTGACATCCTGTGACCAGCAGCAGGATCTCTAGAAATCCTGGTTCCTGGAGGACAGTGGATTTGGTTTTCCCAGCACCCATCATGTAGGCATGGGGATGAGTTTATTGGAGGGCATTATGTCACTAGGAGTGAACTTCTGTGGTCAGGAAAAAATGGTCTCCCTGGTGGAGCTGACTCAACACTGACTACTTGGTGACACCCTGGGTGATGCAGAGAGTACCCTCTCCCTCCAGGGAGAAGCAGGTTTCCCTAGAGTGCGGTGTCCTGGGAACCTTCCCATGAACGTAGCTGTGACTCCAGGAGTCTCAGCCCCACCTTCCCTGGGCTTGTCCTAGTTGGGATGGGCCTGGCCAGTGAGGCCTGGCTGGTCCCCACTGGAAATGCCAGCCCCATCCTCCAGGTCCAGGGTGAAATGGAAGGATCTCTTGCATCCCTCAGCCTGTTCTGATATTGGTGGGTGAGGTGGGGCAGTGGCTGCCATTGTGTTATTGAAATAAGGGGGACATAAAGGAGCTCCTGAGTGTGGTCTCCAAATATTACCTTCCGCGAAGGGACGTGAGGTCAGTGCGGTATCCCAGGCGTGGGGCAGGAAAGGGACATGATGAGACAGAACCTCTCATCCTCTGAGAAATCAGAAGCCACGGAAGCTCCTGGGGTAATGGGAGAAAATCAGATGCCACCTGAGGAGGTGCCTAGTGGGTAAGTGTTCATGTTTTGTAGCCGCATTGTCATTGCCAATTCAATATAACCACAGTGGAACCTGCATGTCAGATGTCCTCACATGCACACCAGCGGTTTGCCCTGAAGGATGTCTAGGCATCAGATCATCAGTTATCAAAGTGTTGAACAAAAGGGAAGAATGTACATTTTTTCTTTTTCCCAAAGCATGAAGCACACTCCCGAGTGCACAGTGCAGCTGCTGGGCCCTCCCTTCAGGAAGCCCTCATGAGGAGGAGGTGAACTGAAGCCTCGGCCCTCTGCCTTCCTTCTCATCTGAGGCACAAAGTTGTTGATCATCAAATGCAGCTGATATCACTAAAGGAATGGCAACACAACATGGGTGGCTTTTCTGGAAGTAGCCACATGTCCTGGGAAGGGATTATGCCAATGTCCAGCCTGAACCCCCTTGAGTCTTTTGATGCTAGAACCATTTTTCAGGAAAAGAGAGGTTGAGGGAAGCACTGGATTCCTCTCAGGGAGGCGGCGGCTGCATCCGGACTGTGGGACCAGCTCACTGCTCCTGCAGCTCCTGCCTTGCCAGGGAAAGCCAGAGGCATTTGGGAGACACCTGCAGATGGGATGGGCCTAAAAACACATTCACCAGTGATAACATCAAGTATTTAATCCACATAGAAACGAAATTAAAA